TGCGATGTCAGTACAGCTTCCTGATTCCATACCTCACACTCCCAACATTTTCACAGCCTCAACATAGAATAGCAGAGAAATAGCTACCCTGTGACTTTCCAAACTGCACAGCATCCCAGATGTTATTTGCATGACCTAGCAGAGCCCCCACCAAAGACAAAAGGTGGAATATCCCCTTGCACCAGCCTTTAGGCTGAAGCTAGTATAAAGACACTCTGGTGTGGCAGACTAAGCTGACAGTAAAGAGAGATACACCCTCTCATATGTCCTGCAGTAAACAGCCATTTAACATACTTTGAATTTGGCCGACAAGGCCAAACCTCAACATATTAAATGTCAGCATCTCAGCTTGAGTAATGGTTTAAATTGCAAACACTGTAATCTGTCAAAAACACATCAGTACACAGTAACAACCTAAAACAAAGGGAACTATGGTATTTGCCATGGACCACAGTACAGTACTGAAACCCTGGCACAGAAGATTGAAAGAGCATTTGAAACTCAACGACATTTCAATGACCCAAACCTGCTTTTTCGGCTAAAACACTGATCATCAACATGTCAACCCTGAGGTACTAGTAGCCCACAGAACACATTCTAGAAATTTAGCTGTACACTTGTACATTGGGGCACTACAAAGGATTTCACTTTCTCTCAGACAAAGCTGCCAATTTTCACTATCACCCCCTCCCCCAATATTGTATTACATCAAACACATCGCACCCAAGATTCTTGGTAAAAGTAGTTCTCACTGTAATAAAGATTGGAGACCATCAAGCTAAACCACACATTTTTAAATTAAACTTTTAGAAAGCAAACCAGTTTACATATCGGGTTGCCCCATTGTATGGATTAGACATAGAAGGCATTACATCCATGTCAACACTCAGGACAACCCATGTCAAACATCCATGACATTACAACATCCATGTCAAAACAACACCAAAGTGAAAAATATAAACCTGCAAGTTTTAACATTTTGTGTGCATAAATATCCTAATTGTGAGCCCAAATATGAAACTAGAAAGCACCAAAAGAAGACTTGCGTGTGCATGTAGACATACCGTTATGTCCTGATTTTAGACAACAGCATTTGGCCCATTTTGTCAGAGAAACTGGACACCAACTTCCAACAACAATATATAGAAATATACAAGTAATTTTCAACCATATTTATTTGAAATAATTTTAACTATTACTGCACACAGATTCCACACTGATCTGTTGATACATCAGGACAGGAACCACATTACAGTTACAGTAAAAGTTACATTAAGGACATTTTTCTTTTGAAAAAGTAACATTCCATCCTGCATTACCCACTTGACAGCATGAACCATCTACGTTGTTGTATAAGGGTATAAAACTATGCCACATTTCACAACACGTTATTTTTATGTAGCAGATAGTTAGCTAGCTAAAGAGTGGGTAAACAAGGGTGAAAGTCTCTAAACCACAACACACACAAGGCCTGTGGACCACATCTGGTACAATTCTTTTCAGATTGCAAAATGATTCTGATGTCCTGTTAAAAATGGCCTGGAAATAGAGGTGTAATGGGCACAGAAAACCCACATTTCGCTACTAAACTTTGTTTTGGGTTTGTGGTTTGGTGTAATTTTGATACAGCAGGGAGAATAGAAAGTTTTGAAATTATTACGCAAACTAAGTTTACAAACACAATCTGGAACAATTGTAAACCAAAGGCAATGGGGGCGCTTATTTGCACATTGCAGTGTAACAGAAATAATAGACAGACAGTCTTGATCACATCAATCACTCTCTCTCTCCGACGTTGGTGTAATTTATTGGGGAACCAAAATGTTATGAAACAGCTATTTGACTAACTAACCAGCTTACAGCAATTAGTATGTTTCCCATGTTGAACATCTACTTGTAAACTTGGGTTGCACCTGTGACAAACAATGTATTCATTCATTTCATTGTTGTTTTGAACTCAAAATGAAGCAACTAAAACAAACAAGCAGAACACGTGTACATATACAGTCCTACCCGGGAAGCAGGAAGCACCGAATCAGAATAAAATTCAGCAAGACATTCTACTTGCAATCTTGTTTTTTTGGCAAAAGTCTCTCATTTAAAAGAAAGACAGTGGATAATGTCAGTTACAAACAAATTATTAACAGTTCATCTGTCCAGTGGACTCATTTGACTTAATTCTATTTCTTCAAGGAAGTTTTTGTATATTAATGCTCAGTTTTATTTAAAATAAATTTCCAGAAATAACATATATTACAGAGTTCACATTTGTACATGTCATTTGCACATAGTAAAAATTTATGGGGGGGGGGGAGAGTTCAGGTCATACCATTTATAACTACATAAATAAGCCTTAGTCAACCCACAGATTTGTTGGTAGTTTGTAACATGACCCTTTCAATAACCGAGTTTAACACACCAGCTCTAGACAGCTAAAGACGGCTTGTACACTTTTTCTCCTCACAGAGGTGACAGTTAGGTAAATCAAAGTGCTGAACAGGGTAAAAAGTAACCCAAAAAAGCCCAGGAGAACGATTTGTCAGGAAAATATACTACTTATAATAATGCAACTGCAAACTGGGACTTGCAAGCAAAGCCTAATAGCCAAGTCCAAAGCAAGCAAGTTTCTGTCTCAAACTGAAGTAAAACTAATCATCCAGGAGATGAGGCACAGTGTCAGGGAACTTACACCAAGTCACACAGATATGCTATTCTTGATCAACATTTCCTTAACAGTTCTACAAACATGAGCCATTAGTTTCACAAGTCTTCCCAGTTATTCTGCAGCTATTCCCCAGAGTGCTTGCGTGTGGTTTTTTCACTGACTCTTCTGTGCAGTTCGACCTCATCTAAGTTCTGCAGCACAGAGGTCTGGAGTCAAGGCAGGCCAGCGCATTGGTCTAATTTGTTCACATCCCTTTTAGGCCAGAGTATTTGACGTACATTCTGGGTCCTTGCTGAATGAACTGTCAGCGGAAATCACACATGCAGAGTTCATGCCATTACCCTCTCCCCAACTTACTTCCAAATATGACTCACTGGCCCATAAACCAAATTCTACTCCTCAGACTTCCAGTTTCTTTGTTTTTTTGGCCCAGGCAAGTCTTTTTCTTTTATTCTGTGATTTTAATAGTGGTTTCTTTGCAGAAATTCTTGCAGTTAGGCCCGCTTCACGCAATCTTCTCTGAACAGTAGATGTTGAAACTTCTGTACTCCTAGAAGCATTCAGCTGAGCTTGTATGTCCCGTGCTGATAACTGCCGATTTCGCAGACTTGTGGCTCGGATAAACGTATTCTCAGATTCTGAGGTTGCCTTTGGCCTACCTGACCTTGTTCGGTCTTCATGAGTGCCAGTTTCTTCAACCCGTTTGATGGTCTTGGCCACAGCACTCACAGACACTTGCAAAGTTCTTGCAATTTGTCTTAAAGACTGACCTTCATTTCTTAAAGTAATCACAGACTGTCTTTTTTCTTTGCTTAGTTGAGCATTTTTTGCCATTTTCAGCTCACTTACCTTCAGGAGTGACAAACGTTTCCCTATAAAACCTACGTATTGTAACTGCACCCTCACCTGTTAGCAATTGGTGCCAAAAAGTTAAGGTAACTCAGAGATCAAAAGAAATTTAGACCAGTGTTACAAACTTAAATCTAGACTTCAGACTAAACCTTCTTGCTTAGATATTTAGATTTCCAATTTTGATTAAAAATCAATTTCTCTGACTTCAAGCAGATACTGGATTGCAGGAGTATATACATAATCATACAAAGAATATGTGCACACAGCCTAGATCATGCAAAATTTGACTGGTACTGGAAGTTCAACACTATAAATCATGTCAGAGTAGTCAGAGAGCGCTTTGACAGGAGAATGAATTTAAAACGCTGTCGTTGGTACTCAGACCAACAAAACCCGCATGCCTCCACAGCTTCCATTCCGTTACCTAAGAGGACAGATAGAAAAATTACCAAACTTAGCAACTCAAAATGGAGAACAATCAAAATGAATGTAGCAGTTAGGTTCCAGCCATTGATGTATAAAATTTTTTATTTATTTTTTTTTTTTAAACCTACAGTGGTACCTCAGAACTCGAATTTAATCCGTTCAGAACTCCTGATCAAATCCTAAAAAGTTTGGAGTTGTGATGATTGAAATTTTCCTCATAAGAAATAATGGAGAACCAATGAATTGGTTCCCGGCCCCCAAAAATTACACCTAAACGTGTTTTTTTTTTTTAGCATTTAAACACCAAATGAACCGGATAAAACAAGAAGAGCATATACTGTACTAAACACATCTAAGCACATTTATCAAAGCAGTAATTTGTAAAATAAGTAAATGTATCCAAACAATGTGTCCTGCCCCGATCGTCCGCTCCTTCCGTGTGCTACGCCCCCTCGTTAACCCCCGTGTGGAATCCCCGTGTGATCAGCTGTTTCTGGTTGTTGTCATTAGTCCTCTATTTCGTCCACGTTTCAGTTTGTTTCCCCAGTCCGGTCATTGTATTGTCCATCTGCGTTTTGCCTGCCTTACCTGTAATTAAACCCCGTATTCCCCGATACCCTGATATCTGCGCCTTTGTCTCCGTTCTGTCCCCGCTCGGCCCAAAAATATTGTCATAATTAAAACATATTAATGGTTTATTATTAATATTCACATAATTAAGAAATCTTTATTTTTAAATGCATTTTATTATATAATGATTACTGTCACTGCCTATCATTGTCTAAATGTATTTTTGCTGTAAATATATATGTATTCAGTTAGTGTAAACATGCACAATGCTATCACGGCTAATGCGAGGCTGAGACTGAAGCTTTACCCTTTGCTTCAGCTGAGAGACGTGCTGCGTGACTCATTTCCCTGCGCGTGCAAGTTGTTAGGTCGGCGTTCACGGTTTGACTTCTGAGATTCAGATAGAGTTCTAGGTATTTTTTTTTCGAACTGGTTGGTTCGACTTAAATTAGAGTTCTAATGAGTTCGAGAACTGAGGTACCACTGTATTCTCCTCAGATTCTGTCTTGTCAGGACAGAGAAGCACTTTTGACACCACAGACATTCTGAGCCCAGTGCAAAGCATCACAGGAGAAAACAGCACAAAAAAACCCTAAAAACTGGTAGATTAGTGTAGATACATAGTCCAATACTCAGTTTAAACAAGTATCTTAACTTGCCTGAAAGTCTTCCAAACAGCTGGGTCCTTCACCTACAGTAAGAACAGAGGAAAATAAGAACTATCAAGAATGAGTAAGTGGAGAGACTTCATATGCATAATAAGTGTTGAATAGTAATCTCCTCAGACTCTGCCTTGTCAGGACAGAGGCACATGTATCACCACCTGAATTCAGAGCCCAGTGCAAAACATCATAGGAGATCACCACCTCACCCGCATGCAACCAAAACATTAAATTTTAGAAAACGTGAACTGTTTTTTGCACTGTCACCCCCCCCCCCCAAAAAAAGAAAGAAAATCAGTCATTCTATTACTTCTGCTCCTGTTGGGAAATATAAATTCATTAAAGAACAGGACCATGTGACAGCAGTGCACATGGGTTGAATAAATTCATTCAAAAAACTAGAAAACCGAAAACACACTCCAGGGGTAAAGCACTTCACAAAAAGGAGAAAAAAGCTCAGTTACTTGTGGCACAATGATGACTGGCAATAAAATAACTACAAGCTAAATCATTTTCCCCAGACCATAATCGTATTTACTAGTGCATACATGGTGACAAAAAATGCTACGATATAAAGCGTCAACGATACAGATTCTGCAGGGAACGTTCCCTACAATTATGTAAGCCGGAGTACATTGATCTTAACAGTACAAAAATCGAGAAAGAATACATTCTAAACCTAAGGAACTTGTATTTTACTCTGTTAATGGTATTCCATTTCCACCGCCAGATCTACAAAGACTGTCAAAGCCGAAGCTCATAACTTGGAATAGTTATAAAAGATGCATTTTTGGGAAAGTAATATCCTCACGTGTTTCCCAGCTACATTTAGAGCACAAAGCGGGACCACGTGCTTATAAGAAACGATACTAATTAGCCTGGCGCGTCCAGCATCCTTGCGAATTAGGACTCCTTTTCGTTTCAGTTTTTATTATTTTTTAATATAACTCCACAGTACACCAGAAACATAGCACCCATGTGAAATATCTGTCAAATTAAACGACAATGTGATTCAAGTCGTGATTCAAAAATCTATTTGTCCGTCTAAGAAGACCCGTCTCTTGCACACCCCAAAAAAACTTACACATTTAACACCTAAGTGGTAACTTAAACATGCTCCTACATTTCCTACCGCTGACACTCTTCACAATAAAACTGCTAATCAACTGATAGTGAACTGAAACCGATCGCGAGCTTCAAAATAAACCAAAACGTCAAACCCATAACGTCATTCAAGAGACAGGCACATAGATAGTTAAAAAGCAATCCTTGTTACCAAAATGTCACAAATGCATTCCTAAGACTAACCTGACCAGCGCACCGGCTGCGCACTCCTTCGGAAGTTGTATTCTGAAAGACAGAAAAATCAACACGGTTTGCTTTAATACGCATGTAATCGAAGGACCCCGGATGTTGTACGAGGTTGTCCGGCGTAATTGCCCGCATCGGAAACTTGCAGATATTTATCTCTCGTGTTTCTTCTAATTGTTCCGTATTTAAAATATCTTCAGCCTCTTACAATAACAATCATTTTATACACGGAATGAATTAAAGTTAATACATGATCATTTATTATTCTCCCATAACTAAAAAAATGTATAGATAACCCGCGTCCACAAAAGTTCGCGCATGGCTGTTTCATTTAGGAGAAACCAATATGGAAATCCGTGCATTTGTGTGTGTGTGTGTGTGTGTGTGTGTGTGTGTGTGTGTGCGCGTGCGTGCGTGTGTGGGTGGGTGCGTGCGTGCGTGTGTGTGAGTGACAGAGTTATGCAAAGAATAACAATAACTGCAAACATAAAAAGTAAACAAATGAGACTGGAAAAAATGCTTCTGCTTTTCACATTTCTTGAACATACTGGGAAAGGATACACACTTCAGTTTCCTCATAGTAAATGTATACTGAGAATTTCCCAGTATCACTGGTAGAGGTATGCAGATCAATAATATAGCTATTTTTGTGGAAGGAAGAATATGTGAACCATATACCAGGCACAGCTGACCATTGCTCCATCTCCTTACTGTCCAACACACTGGCAAAGGCCACTTACGTCCCTAAAAAACACGGGAGGGTGGCTGTTTCTCAGAACCTGGGATCAACAATCAGCCCACATTTAATAATTGCTTAGAGCAGGCACCTTAGCCATTCTACTGAACAGCTGTACGGTCAGTGAACCTCCTGACCCTGTCTGCCTAATGTGAGTATGCAGTTGTGGCCCCATGATTTCACGGAACAGGCTATTCACATTAATGAGCATGTATAGGCCTACCTAATAAAGTGAGCATACTACGGTAAATAACTAAAATCAGTAATCTGCCCATCCTTGAAGCTGCCTCTGTCTAATTATATAATTCATTATGCAAAACAAATAAATGGTAATTCCCAAATGTAGAAAGGCAAGCAGCAACTGCTTGTAAAGTTTTGTGCTTGGTTAAACACAGAATAACATGCAGAGTTTTACTTCAGTGAACAATTATTATTTTCTTTGCAATGTCACTGTTGATCACTCCCCTTAGCTGATATTAAGTAGGTAGAAATGGCCCCTTCATCAAAGGGTCAGTGTTCTATTATTTCCTTGTTCATGCACATCTGTTCATAAATTTCATTCTTCTTTTTTTTACTTCATTTTTAATTAACATACTTGCAAATGTCAAGCCCATTATCTTCATCTGAAATCCTTCATTCTCCTGTTAATGAGAGATGGAATGACCCCATTATTAGCCTTCGACAAGAACATGATAACTTTTGCCTTTTGCTTTCATTGGCTGAATCTCCCTCCACTGTCAGAATTGCACAATTCCTTACATTCACTAACCTAAGTGTAATAAAGGCTGTATTTTAAAATTCAACAGTTGTCAAATATAACCCTAAAATAAAATAGATTCAAAGATGTTAATATTCTACAAAAATCTGAATAGCATCAAAGATAATCTCCCAGCCATCTTCCAGCTGTATAGTGCATGAACTTTCTAATCTTCAAAATCACTGATACATACTAAATGTCTTACTGGACACCCGGTTTCATTAGCACCATAGTACAACCGATGGGGTTAAACACACAGGGCAGCTGTCATATAACTACACAGACCCCCTGGACCCTAAATTCATTAATACTGCCCTGAGGTACAGTGACGGCTGCAGGGGGGGGGGGGGAAGACCAGTTTCCTGCAGATGTTTTTATAGTTTGTAGATCCAAATGTGAGTTGGAGGGAGGGAGAGAGAGAGAGAGAGAGAGAGCCACATCATCTGACACTGGGTGCCGACGCCAAAGAGTGAGGCTGTCCGGCAGAGAGAGGGAAACAGGGACTAAGATCTCAAGAACGGCCGCAAGAAAGAGCCCCCAACCCTTAAGAAGTGAAAAGAGAGTAGTAAAGAAGCCAACTTTGAAACTTTGAAACTCCGAAACGTAAGAAACTTCTATGGCTTGATTTCTCACTGCATCTGAAAACGTATTATTAATATTTTTTGCTGTGTGCCAATTTTTTTTTCATACTTTCAGTTTATATTTTCTTAGAGAAAGGAAGTGCATGCTTATGTGTGAAGAAAATGGATGAAGAGAGTGTGGAATAAGGAGGGCTAGGAGAGGGGGTAGCTGCTGAAGGGGTGGTCAGCATAAACACCCTGCATAAACACTCTGATCACAGCCAAAAATATAAATGCCAGTTATGACACTGCTGCTGGCATGTGGGGAAAAAGCGCTTCCTTCGTTTTTGTTGTATATTATGCTGCTAAATGTTTTCCTGATTTCTTCATAACTGTCTATTTATGATCTTATGAGATCTGATCTTCAAAATCTTCATAGATCCTATTTTCTAATTGCTGGCACACCTGTGATATTGATTATGCGGGGGATTGAGTTTTGTTCTATTTCTTTTCTCTCTTTTTTAATCTTCCTTCTTTTCTTTTTTTTTATCATCTTTTCCCTTTTCTTATTTCCGATTTTGTATATAAGGCATTACAAGAGACATACCCAATGATCACTCATACTTTCCGTCTGTGTACCCTTCTAGTTTTCTGTATGCCATGCTTATAAAAGTTCATTAAAATGGTTTTGATTAAAAAACATCTTAATTCTATTATGTATCTGCATAAGTATGTTACCCGCTAACCTGCCCAGTCATGCAAACTGCATTTAATGCTTAATAGTTTATATCTGATAACTGCACTGAGGTTTTTTTTTTTAAAGATTTTTGTGAAGTTCTTAAGTCTTGCACTAATTTTAATGTTATTGAATTTGGCATTAAAGTGATAGAGAAATGTACTTACACCCTTACAACAGGCACTTGGGAAGGTTGAGGAGATTCACCATCTTATTCGTTGTGTATGACAGACACAGAAGGAGATGATGGGAAAGTGGTTGGGAAGGAAGGAAGTGGTGTCAAAGGTCAAGTACGAAATAAATTAGTTTATTCTTAACCTCAGGCACAAAGACAACACAGAGGGGACCTTGGCTAGATCCTATGCAGCTTGTTGCCTTCATGAGCGAACAGAAAATATTGGACGTTGACACTGAACCTACAGATACAGAAGTTATCACTTAACCTTGAGAATCAGACCTTCACAGTGCAATTTGCGAACACTGTGTGTGGCTAGGGAACAGCCTGGCCAATATAAAGTCAAAACTCGAATCATGATCAGGAATTGAAATGGACATGAGAATCTCCACATTCTCTGGAGTCGTCTTGTCATAAAGCACGGTTTGATGGATCAGTGCCGAAATCAGAACACTGCATTGCTGCATGTGTTGCTTGATATATTAAGGCTAATTGGAGTTTACAATATTTGTGTTGTGACAACCATCTGTGTTGTAAAAACCATATGTGTTGTGAATTTAAACCCTTTTTCTGATGGGCTGCACTATATCTAGCTTTTAAGGACATCTGAACACTCTCTTTGCTTTAACTGAAGTAATATATCCTGTGTTGAGATTGTTGAGACAGTTTAAGGACACTCGTAAGCACACACTGCTGATAGCCAAGACGAGGACTGAGAGTCACTGCCATTGGTATACAGCTAAGAGCTGATGTATTGAGTATCAGTTGTAAGTTGTTTGTGCAATTAGTATGTTTTAGGTGCATTAACATTTAATGTATTCTGAATTCCTGTAACAGATGCCCTGCCTGTCATTTTACAGTCTTATTCTGTAGCAGAAAAAAATGAGCTGAAACAGAATGTAATTTTCTACACATACTGTATGACTATAATTTTACAACTAAGTCAGGGGAAAGGAATGATACAGTAACTCGGGAATTAAGTGTCAACTAGCGAATCCAATCAATATGGACAATCGGAGAGGGATGAAGAGAAAAATGACCTTTGCCCTCTTGTTTATTTTAGGAGAGCTAGAGTTTCAAAGTACGGAATGCTGGGTGAGGGCATTCTATTCTGGATGTAAGATTCCAGCCCTAGGATACCAAGCCTCTGACTGAAAACCTATATAGAGTGCAGGCTGTTTAACTCTCTAAATGCTCTTTCTCATATTTCAACCCCTTGGTCTCTCTCTGATTATGTACAGTATGACTGTATACCGTAATCAAAATCAGCAGCTCTTTTCTAGATATCTTATTTTGACTTGATATGCATTTAATTCACAAAAAAACATAAGGTGGCCTTTCTGCTAATACTGATCTGTGATTGTACACTAGTGCTTAGCATTTATTAATACCGCTACCTAATTCACTATAAAACAGATCAGTGAGCCAATTCCTATGTACCTGCACTTCTGAGTCATCCTTGAATGACAATTCTGCTTTTTTATTTACTACACAATCTTATGCAAAACCTTATACAAAATTATGAGCAATAACTCCCAAATAAATCTTTACATTTTTATCAGTGCAATGCTTTATCAATGCTCACACACTGTATGCAAACACATGCACACACACAGTTACATATCGCTATATAACCCGTTTATTTTATAAATAAGACATCATACCGTGGCTCTTATGCAGTTTTATAAAAGTAATGTAGTGCATAAGGCCAAGGTTCTGCCTTAATGCATCTTGCATTTATGCATTATCTTGTATATCTGTTGCCAGTTATTGAAAATCTCAGCTATGATGTTTACTTGGCTCCTTCTTCGTGCAAACGGCACCATGCCGGCGAGCGCTCTGAACATGGTGGCTGGGTAAGACTTGGTCGACTGCACAGTTGGCTTTACTCCACATATCAAAGCGACCTCGGCAGCAAGTGGTTCTTTTTTCCCCAGAGAATCTTGGCTTTTCCCAAGGCGTAATCCTGGAAACATCTCAATTGCATGTGCACAGGGCATAAGCATTCACTGAGGAGCCCGGCTAATGGTTAATGCGAAGTGGCTTACATCTGTACCCATCTGGCTGCTTTACTGGAGCAAATCTGGCTAAGTGGCTCCTGTCTCTCAAGGTTACTAGAGCAGGGACCCTCCTCAGACTCAAACTGGTGCCCTTATATGGGGCTTTTCTGTAAGAAAGACTGATCAAAATGCCACCGTGTGTCTTGGGGAAGATGGTGGTGCAGGAGGTAGTGTCATCATTCAGCATCCAGAGGGTTGCAGGTTTGAGCCCTGGTTCCTCCTGACCCCATCAAAGTGTCCTTGAGCAAGACACTGAACCCTAAATTGCTCCCGGTGTGCAGGTTGGTGCCTTGTATGGCAGCCTTTGCCACCGGTGTATGAATGTGAGTGTGGGTGGGTGAATGTGAGGCATGTATTGTAAAGCGCTTTGAGTACTCGTAGGAGTAGAAAAGTGCTATTTAAATACAGTCCCTTTACCATTTATTCGCCAACATTATAAATATCCACTTCCTGTAAAGTTTAAGGCTGTTTCTTGTTATCCACTCACCTAACTTCCTGACATTTACAAAATACATCCTCTGGAAGCAGGAATCTTGCAACATACTACATAACATGCAACATACATACTAATCATGACGTTAATACAACAGCAGCCAAATCGGAATATCTTACATTTTTGATTAATCATTTTAGTTCATAATTATTTACATGTAGAAATGTTGTCTGACACTTGGCTGTATCAGTGCTGTGTTTCATATATGCTAAAGTTATGTTTTAGGCCTGGTGGGATATGCTACTCTCTCCTGGAGCTTAGAGACTGCTGGAGCTAAATATCTGTTACATCGCTGCTCTTCTGGCTCTTTAAATATCTCCCTTTGCCAAATAAGTGAAAGAATATGTAAATGCGGGCAACACCAGTACTCAAACTACCACGCAGGACTCCACCCGAAAGCTCTACAATCGACAATAAGTATCCCTATCTACCTGCTTTAGCTTCAGTCTACAGAGAACATTTGTAAATAATGTTTTTCACTGTACAGTCTCTAGACAGAACATGAATTAACCAGGCTTTTGTATTAGTTTTTATTCTACTTGTACAGTATATGAGAGGCGGCTGTAAATTACAAGAAGCCAGTAGACTTATATAAGATGGTCCTATACATTTTTAAAAATGGCCTTGGTACAGCTAATGCTTCATTTATGCAGAGCTTTTCCCAGAGACTCCCACTCCAGGGCTGGGCCCAGGTTTAAAATAAGCACAGATGAAAGCCTAGATGTGAGGGAACAGTGGGTGAATGAAGGGTGACATCTGAGCACAGATTGAACATAGAAAAGTGAACTCTGGTCAAAAATGTCAGGATGCTACGGCCTTCTTTATATCGCGCTTTGAAAGCTTGGGAGAAGATCCTGCCAGTGGAGGCCAGATCCCACTCCTCACATCCTGCATCTTACGCTGAGGATTCACAGCTGAGCAGAGTTATCATATATCACCAACCCTACATGGGTCCTGCTTGTTATTCATCATCAGTATCTGGGTTTCAGCACACTTTAAAAAAAAAGAATTCTTTATAATACATTTAAACACTGCAGTTTTATGTTTAAAACCAGCTGAAGTTCTAGTACTATGACAGACGGAAAAATAACTTCATGAACAGGATTTTTACCAGAGAAGCTGGGGAATTTGGCAAATAAATGCAGCGCCTGGAAGTCATCCCTGAGAAAGTAAGGGGTCGCAAAGAGTTGGGAAATTAAAATTGTTTGATCTAACTTGCTGGATTTTGAAGGAAGTTATTGGTGTTCCACCGGCTTGAAGCCCCTCCATGTGGCTAAGGAAGTTAGAGCCTATGTCTGGTAGCACGGGGCACAAGGCAGGGGTACAGCCTGGATTTCATGCCAGTTCATCAATTTAGAGACTCCAGTGTGCAACCTGCAGGTCTTTGAACCACGGTGAGAAACTGGAGTATAAAGAGGAAACTGCATGACACAGAGAGAACATTCAAACTCCACATTCGAACTCGCAACCCTGGAAGTGCGAGGTAACAGTGCTGTCCAAAAAGTCAACGTGATACACTGAGACATAACATGAACTAACAAATTTGACTAGACAGTAAGAACAGTAAGAGAGTGACACTGTGCAATCGGCAGACTAGGGATAATGTAATATAATTGATTTCTTTTTTTCCCCTTATTCGATAGGCACCCACCACATTCTCTAGTGTAATTTTCACATTATATTTACTGTAATATGCATCTCACACCTCCAGGGTTGCAGGTTCAAATCTTGCCTCCACGTGTGTGGAGCTCATTCTCCCTGAGTCACAAGGGCAGTGGTGGCTGTGGGCAGTGGTGGCTTAATGGTTGGGGATGTGCTCTTGTAATTGAAAGATTGCAGGTTCAAATCCCCAACCAGCAAGGCACCACTGAGGTACCCTGAGCAAGGTACTGCCCCCAAGCACTGCTCCCCGGGCGCTGAATTAGCAGCCCCCTACTATGTCACGATGTCACATATGGGTTAAATGCACAGGACACATTTCATTGTTTTGCACTGTGTGCTGTGATGTGTCAGCAATGACCACTGATCACTAAATAAATAAATAGCCCAAAGTCATGCAATTGGGCTAATTGGTGTCCTGTGATTCCCCCCCCCCACCCCACCATGGGCTGTTTGTGCAGTTAAAAGGTGAATCTGGTAACATACAGGGTGGCATTAAGTTCCTTAATGAATGAAACAGTGCTCATATTCAATTTGAGAGCCAATCCTATTCTTCAGCAGTTACTGTATGTTATCTGTCCTCAAACTTCCCAATGGCCACAACCCTGTAGCCCATCTCTGTTTGTTAGCATATAGCAGGATGGGGGCTGCTATTTGGTGTAATATTTACTATATGACTGTGGTTAAGATTACAGTGCTTTTGGCAGGAGGTAGCTGTTGAGATTCTAGCTGCAGTGGGGATCTACATAACCAGCCCCTACTCCCAGCCCCCCCACCCCGAGGCCACCACGTGTCCTCAGTCTTACGTCAGATCTTCCACGAATGCATTAGTGGAGCTGGGTCTAATAAATGCGATGGGAGTTAGAAAAACAAAAGACAAGCCGCTCTGGTGTCGCCACAGGGGAAAACGCTATAAAGTAATGTGGGGAAATAAAGAGAACTGTAAGATGGTGTGTGATTGGGCATCTGGGCATGCTTCCTTTGAGAGAATACAACAGGCAGTCCTATTGGCTGATTCAGAATTTGAATCATCACCTGAAGTCTTCCCATCACCAGACATTGCGGTCCCCCCTCCCAACATCTTACACCTAGATGCACTTAATAAAAATTTTTAAGGTTAACTTCACTGAATGTTTCTCCTTCTTGCTCAGATTCTCCAGCATGTCGACCCTCCCGAATGAAAACCCTTCTGAGGATGCCAGCAACCAAAGCTTCTGGATGGTGAGGCTAAAAATGACTCTGAACAGAGACAGACTTAGATAAACAGACACTGCTAACATACGGGCCCATTTTGGCAGGGCTCCATAGTGACACAGCCCCATTAAAAGGCATGGAACGATAAGGAGAAAAATATATATCTAAAATGTGCTTCCTCTGAATCTCTCAGCCTCATAAAGGACATCCAGATTCCTCGTTCTTGATTCCAAGTTCCTGGCTTTCACACACAGTGGCTCCAAGTCAGAATAGTTCAATTCCAGCTATCCGGTTACCGTTCTGTCACTTTTCCAGGCTTCCTTTTCATTCCCTCCATTTTTCTTAGCTCACTTTTGCTCCCTCTACTTGCCTTCCTTTAAAGCACTCCCTTGCCCCGCCCATCCCCCCCCCCAATGTCTCCATTGGCCGGCGGCCATGTGAGTTACAAGAGCTCACGATCTGCTTGCTGTGTAACTCTTGGCTAGTGGGTCACTCGCATGCTTCCACTCAGCCCCAAGTGCGTCCTCTTTGTCTCGCAGGTGTCGCATGGCCTGAACTGACAGCACGGCAACGTGATTGCGAGGCCATAAAGAAAATTCCCAGAGTACGGCTCCTATTTCTTTTACTGTTGACCGAAATCCATGCCGAAGAAATAAGGTGGCATAACGCTAGTCTGCCAAAGCCAATGTCTCTCGTATCTGGCACCTCTGTCTCCTCAAAGAGTAACTGGTAACAGGTGCTGTCTAATTGGAGACGCTGTTATGGTATCGCAGCACTATGCTGGGATTATCTCAGGGGCCTCGGGCTGCCGGGACGCTACAGCATGCAGCTCATGCAAAGGACTCCTGGAGAAACGGCAAGACGGGGAAGTACAGCACAGCGCCAGGAAAATAGCAGATGGATTTGCCAGACTCCACATCAACAAACAAATACTCGCTCTGGAAATACCATTACGTGCCTCTCTCTCTCTCTCTCTCTCTCTCTCTCTCCCTCTCCCTCTCCCTCTCTCCTGCGCGTGCTTACAGACACATGCCGGCACTTTTTCCTCCTTTAAAAAAAAAAATCCTCTACGTGAAAGCACCGATAGCAGATGGGGCAATCGGTCAAACATGGCTTTAGCATGAAGCACTCCATAAATGGCTCGTAATGAAGCTCAGTGATTCCCCCCCCCGCCCAGCTGGCGAATGATCGCTGCTTTATGCTCAATGTCTTCATCAGCCAGGGAACTACCAGCGTTCAGTGCGGCGCACAGAGGACTCCTTCCAGGCGTGCGGCGAGATTGTGGCGTGCTTCCAGGAGAGGGCGCGGGTGGAGAGGCAGTACGCACAGCAGCTGAGCGAGTGGAGCACCAAGTGGAAGCCGCTGGTGGATGCAAGTGAGTAGCACCGCCCCCGGCTCACTGTACAGGTTGGGAGACAGTTCCAGTTGAAATGAAATTTAGAATTAAGCTTTATGTGGAACTTGCACAAATCCAAGTACATTGGAAGGCTCCATATCTCATCTTGCTCTCCTTTGAGACACACACACATATATACAGTTCAGAGGGAAGCTTGGGGTCAGAGTGCAGGATCAGCCATCTGTCCGGCAGCCCTGGAGCATTTCGGGGGACGTTAAGGTTCTTGTCAAAGGAGCAACAGACATGTGACTGGTTTGCTGAGGACGGGATTTGTGCCAGCGACCTTCTGATCACGGAGGCCTAACCCAGTGAGCCACACAATGCCCCCCTTGGGGTCTCTTAATCCCCCCGGAAGGGCTGTTGGTGTTGTGCTATGAAAATGGCCTGCTCCTTCCTTACCCTCCACACTTGCCCCCCTCCCCCAGGTCCCCTCTATGGCTCTCTCCTGCGGGCGTGGCAGTGCTTCCTCACCTCTGCCGATCGCCTGTCCATCCTGCACACCTCCATCTGCCGATCCCTTGTGTCTGAGGATGGGGACCGAATGCGGACCTGGCAGAAGGAGACCTTCCACAAGAAAATGTTTGGGGGCTTTCGGGAATCACAAGACTTTGAGACAGGCTTTTCGCGTGCCCAGAAACCATGGGCAAAGAGGCTGAAGAAGGTAAACACACCGATTAGACATTTTTCAGGGTGAAGTCACAGGGAATTTTCATGCATGGGTCACTGATCATCTTAATGGTCTTTGAGTAAAGTTTGCATAATTAGTAACTTTATATCTCCCAGGGGCATAACTTTCGATTGAGCATTGGAGGGGTTGAGGTCTCCACCCATTTAAGGGGGTCCAGGGAGTTGTATTGACTAGTTTTATTGATTATTTCCACCCATGATATCTTTTGCTATTGACCGATCGCATATCTTCACTTTTGATCGAGAAAGATGAACGTATACGTTACTTTGAGTTGCTTTAGACTGCACCATGAGAGCTCAGACATTGTAGTGTACCAGTAATGGATTTCCTTTCCTTTACAACTGACACTGCTAAGGAAGTTATTCTTTTAAAGAAGTACATTTCTCTGTGGTCCTAGTAAATGTGAGTATAGATTAGTGCACGTGTCTGCTTGCTGTTTTACGGCACGCTTTCAGCCTGCTGGAATGAGTTGGGAGGGATGTTCTTCGGTAGGTTCACACGCGCCATCGTCTGTGGTGTCTTCTAGCTTGACAAGGCGCGCAATGCCTATCACAAGGCGTGCCGCAAGGAGCACGTCGCCCAAGACCGGGAAACCCATGCCAGGGGCAACCCTGACATCGCCATCGAGAAGCAGAGGAAGATCCAAGAGGAGAGGGAGCAGGCCAGGCTGGAAAAGGAGAAAGTGAGTCCCGGGACTGGTCTCCGTTAATAAAACAGGAGAACGCCCAACAGGAAACCAGTAAATTTAATTACAATTAGAAAAAAATCCAAAAATACAATGCGGCTGTTGTTTTCAATAAAGACACACAAACGTAGATTTTAAAGCAATTTATATTTGTAATCTTTTGTTAAAATTTTCATCTGTAATGTAAATACAAATGGCAGCCAAGCTTATGGTCAGACACAGATGTAAATACATGAAAAGAAGTATTAAAACCTACAGTTTCTTTTTTCATAATCGGCACTGGTTATGTCCTTGCTCATGTTCTCAAATGTTTGACAGTACACCATATGATCTGTGAATCAAACCTTGAGTTGCAGACAACCTAGATGTACTAAAAACATTTTGTTGATGAAACTGACCATAGCGTTGGTGACCCCAGCCTGTTACATTCTCCCCCCCCCCCCCCACAACCTTAACCTTAACCCTGACCCCCCAGGTGCGCAGCCGCTATGAGAAGGTGCTAGAGGAAGTCACACGCTACGCCCCCCGTTACATGGAGGAGATGGAGTCCATTTTTGACCAGTCCCAGGAAGAAGAGAGGAAGAGGATAAGCTTTCTGAAGCAGGCTTTCCTTTCTATACACAGGCACCTGGATGTCACTAATGATGAGAAGTAAATGTGCTCACTGGGAGCCTCTTTCTGTTTCTGGTGAACCCCACCCTCTGCACGCACACTGTGACTGGACGGGAGGGTGCCCCCCAGTGGGGCAAAGCCAGATGACAGACCTATTCTATAATCAGTACTTAATCACCAATAGTATTGCAAGAAATATTACTAAGGATGTCCCATTACCCTGACAGTATAAACCAAACCTCTGCTCTGTCTCTGGAGACATTACACACCCTGACTTTGTTGCCCTTCCTTAGCCTAAACTGCCATTTTTTTTTACTCTTTTCTTTCCTGTCATTGCACGGCATTTATGACCAGAGCAGACAGAGCGCTGTTACCTCTCTGTGACAGACTGATGGCCAGCATGATGTCAAGGCTGAGGCCTTTGCTCTTCCTGTAGGCCTTTCCTCTTGCTGTAGGCCTTTGCTCTTCCTGTAGGCCTTTCCTCTTGCTGTAGGCCTTTGCTCTTCCTGTAGGCCTTTTCTCTTGCTGTAGGCCTTTGCTCTTCCTGTAGGCCTTTCCTCTTGCTGTAGGCCTTTGCTCTTCCTGTAGGCCTTTCCTCTTGCTGTAGACCTTTCCTCTTCCTGTCAGCTTCTTATCATCGATCATACCTTTCAGTGTGAAGGCGGTGTACAGTGAGCTCCACCACACGCTGATGTCCATCAACGAGCAGGAAGACCTGCGCTGGTGGAAGAATAGCCATGGCCCAGGGATGCCCACCGACTGGCCGCACTTCCAGGTACAATACAGACCGTCAGTGAACAAAAGCATCATAGAATGGGCCGGTGGCTTGACTGCCTGAGGTAGGCGTGGCGTGTCTTTGTAGCATTTGAGGACTGATTAAAAGAAGAGGGGACATTTTTCAGGAGTGGACTGCACCTCAAAAAAAGCAGAAGAAAGGAAAGAAGGAAGAACAGAAGAACCCGCCAGAAAGAACGTAAGATGAGCGTGATCGTGCCTGTTCCCACACAGAGTGCCGAGGTAAAACCTAATGCCCGCCCCGTGGCCTTCTCTGTTCTGCAGTGTGATGATTGGAGGGGTGCATGTCAAGGCACTCTATGACTACGTGGGACAGGAGCCAGATGAACTCTCCTTTAAAGCAGGTGACTCCGCTAGCTAATTGATAAAAGCTTTCTCTTTAAGTGTATGATTAAGGCCTGCCAGTCGTTCTGTCCGTATCTGCGGCCCCTATTTGCGTTTGACTGATGGTCCCTCAGTCTTGCCTTTTTTTCACCAGTCCTCTGTGCCCAGCTCTGCCGTTTTGTATGCTGAGCACTTGCTGGCTTGGTCTCACTTTGCAGAGATATTGATAACTGCAACTATGGCTTCCCAGTCAGGCCAAAAACAGCAAAAACCACAGGCTAGTTGCTGTCACTTCCCTATAGATGGCCAGGAGTTATACCGGATGTGCCCTTATTTAAAATTATATTTAATTTAATACAAGCTCATAAATTCTGTAGGAAGGATGAGATTGCTTCTGAATAGCTCAAACAATTATTTTATAATGCTGACATCCTTAGGTTAGGAGGATAGACCTTTCAGGGGCCCTAAGTTTTAAAATTCAGCTGGAATTTTGCCTGGCACTTCCTGAATCTCCACAAACATCTGTAGCAAAGCCAGAAAATGCATTTGAAATCTAGCAAAAATGTCACTCTCAAGCATATCATTTAGTCCATTCTTGCCTTCTGTTCATCATGAGCTTCTCTCCACTGCATTCTGATTTTTCCCCAGGGGATGAGTTCATCAAGACAGAGGAAGAGGACGACCAGGGCTGGTGCAGAGGAATGAAAGATGGAGGCAGAGAAGGACTGTACCCAGCGAATTATGTTGAAGTTATACAGTAACCTAGCTCTCAGTTCTTTGGGGGGGTTATTCCATATGAAAAGAACGTTTGTTCCAGAAATACATCTGTGTGGTGGAAAAGCATGTGACCTGTTCACGTTATAGAGCATTGATTTCATACCCTTGAGCACAGAGATGCATAAGTGTTGCTAACCTAATGCTACTCAGCTGACTGCTACATCACATCACAGGCACGCCTTTGCAGTTTAGAGATCCATGGGCACATCTGTCAGTGTAAAGTCTTTTACTATAATTATTACACAATTTAAACGTGATCATCAAAACCAGTTCTCTCATGGATCCATGTAAGAGTTACAGCCTCACTGTGAGCTGCATTAAAATCAGCCTTCCCTGTTTTCTGTGCTTGGTTGGAATGAAGCGGGTCCCGGCGAATGGGTGGCTCTGGTAGGCCTTGCAGGCCCAAGTAGGCCGCCAGCTGTGTCACTTTAGCAGGGCTCCTTTCTACTTATTTTTACATGAGTATATTGAGATAATGAGCTTAATATATGTACACACTGTCAGTTCACAGTAGCTGCATTGGATTTGCATGATGCTTCTGGCTAAAACACCCTGTGATTATTTTACTCTACATTCATTACCATTATTGCTGTCACTGAGGTGAGCTGCGATTTTTCTTCCCTACATGGAAAATGAGATGCTCTTCCTCATTATTTTTTATTTTCTTGGCTTTGCTTTATTGCACATATGTGCATTTTTCATACAGCAAAAATGTTTTGTTTTGCAATGTACCTATTTTTTGATATATTTTGATGAATGGAACTTTACAGATATTTGTGAACGAGTACACCATAATTGTATTTAATTGCTGGTCTGTCTAACCACGTTTGGACAGTCACTCTGTTTGTCCACGTTTGTCTGTCTCCTCCGAGAACCAGTGCAGAAACAAAAGGGCAGAGTCTTTACAAAAGCTGTCTGATTGAAGTCATGAATCTTCACTTTTTTACACAGTCTCTGTCCACACACTCTCCAAATTTTGGGTACCGTGACCATTTGCCCTCGAGACAGGAAATCAGATGATTTATTATCTATTAAATTGACTGTATGATGAACACACATTAATGAATAAACTGTTCTAACTTAAAACTTTCGTTTATTTGCCTGTGGCCGAGTAACCTGTGCGTGATGGAGTAACATCTGGGTGACGGAGTAACCTGTGAGTGTTGGAGTAACCTGTGGGTGACAGAGTGACCTCTAGGTGATGGAGTAACTTGTGAGTGGTGAAGTAACCTGTGGGTGACATGGTAACCTGTGGGTGACTGAGTAACCTCAGTGTGACAAAGAAATCTGAGATTGGTGGGGTAACCTGTAAGTTACAGAGTAACAGTAAGCTGTGTGTGACGGAGTAACCTGTGATTGGTGGAGTAACCTGTGGGTGACAGAGTAACAGTATCTTGTGTGTGACAGATTAACCTATGGTTATTGGAGTAACCTGTGGGTGACGGAGTAACTGTAAGGTGTGTGTGATGGAGTAACCTATGATTGGTGGAGTAACCTGTGGGTGATGGTGTAACAGTATCCTGTATGTGACGGATTAACCTATGATTGGTGGAGTAACCTGTGGGTGACAGAGTAACAGTGACCCGTGCATGACAGATTAAACTGTGATTGGTGGAGTAACCTGTGGGTGACAGAGTAACAGTGACCCGTGCGTGACAGATTAAGCTGTGATTGGTGGAGTAACCTGTGGGTGATGGAGTAACAGTAAGCTGTGTGTGACGGAGTAACCTGTGATTGGTGGAGTAACCTGTGGGTGACGGAGTAACAGTAACCTGTGTGTGACAGATTAACCTGTGATTGGTGGAGTAACCTGTGGGTGACGGAGTAACAGTAACCTGTGTGTGACAGATTAACCTGTGATTGGAGGAGTAACCTGTGG